CTCCTGCTAGCCCATCCACCAGCGCTCTACCTCGCCATCCAACAGAAAAACTACTAATGGTCCCTTTCTATCCGGAGGACATTGCATACCGTCAAATATCTTTTCCAACCTCCTCAACCAATCCTGTACTGCTCTGGGCTCAACAGTGCCCTCAAACCTCGGAGGCTTCAATCTCAGAAACATCTATAGATGTCTATCTACATCTTCAGATCGAACATTATATACTCTAATCTGAGTCTCGCTCATCATCTGAGTAACCAATGTAGCAAACTGCAAAACTGTATCATAACCAACTACTAGGGCAGTACTGTTCACAGGAGCTGCCTGACTAGCACTCTGCCTATCAGTCTTATCTGGGTTTGGCAGATCCATAATCACATAGAATGTAATTATGCACATGCATATAAAACAACAATAATGAAAATCCAAGCAAACCAGAACTACCCCGACAGACTTACAGATTAATTCCTATAGCTCTGTCTTACAATCAAAATTCCAAAACTATTGTTCTGATGCCACTAAGAATTGTCACAACCCAACCCGACCGGAACGAATCCCTTCGCATCGGGCCGCGACGGAATTGAAATCCAGGATCTAGCTTTGGAATTTGCTTCAAATTTTCTTCCAAATATCAAACTTACAGAAAATACAGAGCTACTATAAACATCAAATATACATAACAATATACATAATAGTTCATTTATATTTTCTTCATTCATCAAAATAATCATATACAATACAGTGCATGGCTACAGGCAGAAAGAATATAATAGAAAATCCATGACTGTATAAAAATCAAAAGTACAAAATACCTAATCACTGATCAGACACTAAATGGCTAGTTCAAGACTTATTTCCCTTTCTTAGAACCTGAAAACCATGCAGATAACAAGGATGAGCTAACATCTCAGCAAGACTACACTTGCCAATCAAAATCTCCAGAAACACACATCAGAAGTGTAGCCGTACAGAATTCAGATAATCATGCATAAATCATATAAGCAGACAGAATACAGATACTTGATCAAATAGAAATCAAATCACAAATGGAATTCATTTCATATAACAGAATATTCAAGTCAGATTTCTCAGAACAGACAGAATTGTACATAACAAATAGAATCGTACAAATCAGATTTCAAATAAGATAAAATCACATTTCACATATCAAATAACAAATAACATATATCGCATATCAGATTCCCAGACCCTGACAGAATCTCAACGGATTCTGGCCACTTATGCCTCCCTTCCCTGACACAGATAGAATCTTAACGGATTCTGGTCCCTTATACTTACAGCACCAGAACTTGTCAGATATATAAAATTTTCAGAACATAACTTATTTTCAGATTCCTTGACCCAGACAACGAAATCACAAATGATTCCGGCCTCTTATAACTCCCTTCTAATATCACAGCACATCAAAACATTCAAATTTACAAATCAAATTTCGTTAAAAAAATCGTCAGCGGCATAACAGCAGTATACGAAAATTCCACAGAATTCACAATTTCATAAATTTACTAAATTATCACAGAAAGCAGAAAACATCATTTCAAGACTTTCATAGTACTGACGAAATATTTTTCAACATCCCGATAATTCACTATACAATAAAAATGCTGCAAAATTCAAAATACCTGATGAAAATCTTCCAGAAAATACACAAAACGTGCAAAAACATTGTCTCGGAAATATACCAAAAGTTACACAGTAAAATATTCACCAGTACAAAATAATACCAAATTTTGGCTAACGGAAATCGAATTCAAAACAGAAAAGTCATCAAAATTCATATTTCTGAAAATTGAGAAAGGCGGAATGTGCCTTACCTCGAGTCGGCCAACTTTTCCAACTACGGTGACTGATGAAAACGGATCGAAGTCACCCAAAATCCACTTTTTCTCCTTTTTCCTTCATTTTTTCTCTCCTGAGCTTTCTCTCTCTTCAAAAATATCTCAATCAAATATATACACACGCAGATCGTACGGGAAGAATCCTATTCGTCACGGGATGATTTGCCCTCTGGACAAGCTTCGTTCAGACGAGGTGTATTCGTTCCTATACGACTTGCTCTCTGGACAACCTTCGTACGAACGAACCAAATTTCGTCCTGGGACGAACCTCCCAGTTCACAGATCCTGTACTGATCGTCCCAGGACCATCCCACTTCGTCCTGGACGATCCTAGAAGGAAAAACAAGAAAACTGGCTTTCACACCACGCATGTTGATTCAGCCCTTTAAACATTTCTTCCCTTTGAGTAGGATTTCTTAGTCTATACCCTTTTGCTAGTCCCATTTTAGAAATGGATAATGTACGATCCTTAATCGAGAGTCTTCTCAGGTTCTGGCCTGAGATGTAATTAACCACGAGGGCTTGCGCCCGTTGGAAACTTGGCCCCACATCTAATAAACCCCGCTCGTGCTATTGTATCAGGTGGGGGAAACCCGTTCTAATCAGGTCGTGTATATTACTACCCATCAGGGTGTGTTGGTGAGAGCCTCTATCCTCAATGATTAGTCATATGAACGATCTAATTTGTCCTCCCATCGACCTGTTTGTGTCGAGTGTAAAGGCCTACGATCGTTTTGTCCTACAGGATAGTGCAACCATACCCTTTGCATTTGAACCCCATGAGCGGTGCTCTTTCGGAGGTCCACAGGGCATACACATTAATATAAATTAAAATAACAAGTCCTTAAAAAAGATCTAATGCTCATTATTGCTCAAAAGAGATACAATCCTAAAGAAAAATAAAACCTAAGAGTCAAAGATCCCCTTTAATTACAAGCAAAAGAAAACCTATAAAAAAGTCTTAGGTAGGCCCTGTCATCACCAAAAAAATAAAGAGATCTTCCAAGAAAATGAGAACACGAAAGGTGAAGAACCCAGGCCACAAAAATGAACTTTAGCATGATTAACTAGAAAAAAAAAAGAACAAAAAAAATGTGAAACACCATAAGACAGACAAAAAAATACCACTAAGAATTAGTTGGACCCCCACCATCACTTACACAAAAGGAGCTAACAAAAACAAATTAGAAAGAAAGAAAAAACACAAAAATCAAACACATACACACCCAAATCCAGAAAAGCAACCCAAACTCAATATCAAAGCTTACAAACAAAACCAACACAAGACAACCAAACTCTCACCACAACACCACCCAAAGACCCAGAGCACTAGAGCCAGAACAACCAACCCAATCAAACAAAAGCAAAGAGAACAATCAACATAGGCAACTAACAAAAGCAAAAAAGATGAAAAAAAAAAATAATTACTTTATAAAACTGGTCCAAAATAATTTATTTTTAAAGCCATTTGAGATTAATTAATTTCGTTATTTGCGTGACAAAAAATTTATATTTTGAGGAGATTTTTATTTTTTTTCATTTTTAATAATATTTATATTAGATGGTTTAATAACTTGAATATTCAACATTCCACTTAAAATCAAAATGAAAAATAAAAAATAAAAATCAAGAACATATACTTAAAATATTTCATCATCTCAAAAGAAAACTCAACGCAGCTCATCTTGACTTGTTGGTTGGGAGCTTTGTCTATCAACCAAAAGATCTTGACGTTGAGCTTTACATATATATGTGTATGAATTTACCTTAATGACTCAAACACGTTGGAAAAAAAAGGCTATAAGAGGCAATTTTTTATCAAAGCTATGCTAGATCAAGACAATTTTCTAGCACAACTTGCATTACAGATCTGAGGAGGCCAGTTATTTCAAGGAAGTGCCTCTGATTACCTTATCAAATGAAGATCTTCATTTAGGTAAGAGAGCCGAGCTAGCTCGCAAGCCACCTCAAACTCAACTTATTAATGAACTAGTACGTCGATGTTGTTGAGCCACAAAATTAAGCTGGAGTCTATATTTGAGCTCCATATATTATGTAAGCTCGAGCTCAACCAACTCAGCTCATAGACTAATTTAGCCACTCAATTAATTTTAAATGCATTTATAAATTTATTTTAAATTAATATTATATAATATATTTTTAATATATTTCAACATCTAAAAAAATGAAAATTATATTTTAACTAAAAAAATCAAGCTCAATAATCAAATCAAGCTTAAACTTTTCAAAATGCTCAAAATTAAAATTTTTTTAACAAGCCAATTTTGAGCTTAGTAAATAAGCTCAAGCCGAGCTCGACCTCGAGCTCAATAAGATATAAATGAGCTCAACTCAATTAAGCAGATAATAAACTCGACTCGACCTGACCACACTCTTAATAACTACTAACCATAATAGGCTACTCTACATTTCAATTAACATCAATGGTTTCAAATTAAATAAAGAGTTTTTGTTAAATATAAATGTATATTGTATAATTAAGCTTACGCCAACTTTAGACTATTAGTATTCGGGTCAAAAATGATTTTTTTCGTGTCACTTTCGGGTCAATTTCGGGTTGGCGGGTCAACCCGAACCCGACCCGATTTTTAAAACGGGTTGATTTCATGAACCCGAACCCGACCCGTTTCGGGTTTGGGTTGACCCGAACCCGGATTTTTCCGGGTCGGGTTCGGGTCGTGTTTCGTGTCATGTCAAAAATTGACACCCCTACAAAAAATTCTGTCCTTTTCATCCTAACACTAAAATCTTATTGAAGGTAAAACTAAGGCTCAGTTTGGGACGGCTTTCTTTCTACTTAAAGTTATTTTTAGAAAAAAAATTGATTTAAAAAACATTTAAAAAACCATCCCAATCAAAGCCTAAAATTTTATTTCGAACAGATTTTATGTTGCTTTATGAAATATTTTTTTAGTACAAAATTTTCAAATTAAAAAATTTTTGTATTAAAAAATTATTTCATAAAATAGTAAAAATACTGCTGCAAATGAAACCTAAATAGATGCTCATCTACTTATTTATTATTTTGCATAAAAATCATTACTTAAATAATATCAGGAGGGATGATTATTTACTTCTTAGCTTTTGTTATTTTTCATTTTTTAAAGTAGCATTCAAACATAATTCCAAATTGAGAAAACTTTTTTCAAACAAAATCCATATATACATCAGAGATGTAGTTGTCCACAGTTCAGCAAATCTACATCATTTTAACTATAAAGAACAAGTCATAATATTCAGAACCTACCAGATGTTACAAGGGCAAAGATTGGAAGCACACAACAAATTAGAAGAGAGATTGAGCCACAGCTTCTGCTGCTACTTGGATTATCAGATCCAAAATCTGTGCTTGAACTTGAGCTACCAGAAGAGCTGGAGTTGAGCACTGTTGACCCTGATGAACCTGAACCCGAGATCGAACCAGAGCCGGTGCTAGAAGCAGGGTTGAAACCATAAGCAGGGTTGAAACCAGAAGCAGGATTAAAGCCGTTGGCAGGATTCAAACCAGTAGAAGGATTTAAACCACTTGCAGGGTTGTAACCAGCTGTGGGATTGTAACCGTAAGTAGAACTGCATGGTGCAGGCAAATGTGTCAAGTTAAATTGAAAATACAAAAACTAATTTCACATATTGGCTGGAAGAAAGGATAAATTATCCATTATTCTATTCTGAATTACTACAATAATAAAATAGATTTACACAGATATAATAGAATTCATCAAAAACGGTAATTGGTGGCCAGAAAATTCAAACTATGAATTTTAGCTATAGAAAATGGAAGAGAAAACAAGCAGAAGCAAAATATTTTTCTTGATTTTATTCTTTGAATCAAACTGAGAGAGCTTTCTTTTCAAGTAGAAAAGACCGTTTTCTTTTCAGCTAAACAATCAACAACTGAAAAGTATATGAATGCCACTCTTACCTTGATGATGGATAAATGCAAGTTGATGTGCCTGCAAAAAATCAATTGAGTATGAATTTAAGTTCTGAAATATTCATAAAAAAACAAAATACGGCCTTTCTTTAGTTTTTCTTACTAGGATTAACAGTAACAATAATGGCAGTTCCTCCAAAATCGCAGCTAGATGGCATCGGATTCCTTTGATAATAGTTATTGAAAGCATATGATGCATGGGCTTGCAACGTGTTTGGATTGTAGCAGCTTCCTGTCTCTTGTATTGCTGAGCAGTCAGCCCCTCCCATCCCACAAGCATAATCTAAAGCAACCTGGAGTGCAGAATCTGGCAAACCAGGTTTTGCCACACACCAAGTTTGTCCCAAAGTGGCTGGCGATACAGGAACTGTTCCAGGATTAGTAGCTGGATTGTTGAATGGTGGTGCCATTGATGAATAAGGAGTAACTGGATTTGTGGCAGGAGTTGTAGCGGGGTTTGTCACAGGCATTAATGGAGGTGGGAATATAGGATTTGTTGTGGGATTTAGCATAGGATTTGTGGAAGGAATAGTTATCGGAATATCTGTCGGATTTGCGGGGTTTGTAACAGGATCTGGCATTGGGTTTGTGGCAGGAACAGTTATTGGTGAATTTGTAGGATTTGCAGGGTTTGTGATGGGTGTTGGGTAAGGATTTATTGAAGGGAACGTAATTGGTGAAGTTATAGGATTCATTGAGGGATTTGTGGGAACAACAGTGGAAGGGTTGTTAGCGGGTACGGTGATAATAGTTGGAATTGGTGTCGGAATTGTCGACGGAACTGTGATGGGCATCGTCGTAGGGTTTGTGGTATATGTGTCATAAATTGCTTCTTTGATTGGTCTCTTCTCTTCACCAAGAAGTTCTCTATGGAAAGATTGGTAGGATGGGTCATGAATAAAAACCCCAATAATCCTATGTTTGAGTTCAGGATTGATAATTAAGGACCTTGATATTTTTTCCATGAACTCAGATACACTAAGACCATCTGGTTCTGAAACAAGGCTCTTTAAATTCAAAACAATGGGGACATCAATGTTAGGAAGAAGAGAGCAAGTTAAGCTTGCACTTTGGATGACATGGAAGAAGAAACCATCTCCTAAAGTCAGGCCTGCAAGCACCTCAACAGTGAGAAAAGATTGAGAATGTCTTAAAAACTTAATGATCTTTTGCAGATCCTTCTCTGAATTCTTAGCTAAGTTTTCAAGGGTTGGCAAAGAAAACATGACAGAGATCTTAATATTCTTATCAAGCCCACTAGCTTTCAAAGCAGATTGAACTAAATGCAATGTTGGTAGGAGAAGTAGAGGGCTATCTTCAGTAAAACTAACAATTAGGCTACTAATGCTCATTTGAAGATCTTTTTGGACCCATGAATTGTCCAATAATTTGGACTCCAGAAACCTTTTAACTTGATGCCTGGAGAGATCAATTGAAATACCGGAGCTGAAGACATAATCTAACAAGGCCAATGGCTTTGCAAGGAAAACTTCCAACCGCATATTGGTCTCTAGAAACCTTTCTGCTTCTATTGTTGACAATGGGGTCAAGCTGTTTTGGCTTGCTTCATGGGAGAAACCAACAGAAATATCTACAAGTAGAGATCAATTGCACATTAATCAGCCTCACAGCCAACAAAATAGTATTTGATTTTGATGATACCAAACACAACAGCCTTAGATTTTAGGGTTTATAATGTAGTCACAAGTCGTCATCTTTTATACTGTAGTCACAATTCTTTACCATCAAAATCATAGTGAAATTTACCACGCAACAACTTCACGTAGCCATTAATTGCGTGAACATGTATTCAATGCTTGTGTTTTAATACATTAATCCTCTTTTCTATTTTATGCTCTTTCTCACTCTCTGCGTTTCGATTTAGTTTCGCCTAGTCCCACCATATATTTCCCAAACAATCAAACTAGGATTCCCGCTGGAAAAACAGAATAAGAAAAACATGTTCTTTGAACTACTACCATCCTTCTTCTATTATGCTTTAGATGATAAGATAATCTAAAGAACTAACATTTCCCAGAAGAAAAGAACTGAAGCTACTAATAAGATCAGTTTTACATTCAGACTCAAATGTCTTGTTTTACAATTTTTATATTGCTAGAAGGATGAAAAGAAAATGGTTTATCCTATATGCTTATATGAGTCGAAGAATCCAAAAAAGATGAAAACTTTACAGTCCTTTGCAATGATAATGATCCGAAAACTAACCTGTAATGTGAGAGCTGCACAGAGAAACGAGAAGAGAAAATATGAAGCTCTTTGCCACAAACCTTGAAGCCATTATAGCAAGATTGGGTTTTGGAAGAAGAAGAAATCCGCCATTTGTAATCTACGCAAACACTAGTGGAAATTTGCAACTGGGCGAGGCCCCGTGGTTTTTCCCATTTTTGGGTTTTCCACGTAAAAACTCTTGGTGTTCACTCTTTCTTTCTGTTTGTGTGTTAAACTTACGTGCAACGCTCGGACGCAAATTTACAAACTCTACCGCCGCGTATTTTCTAACACGCAACAATCTTAAAAACACTTTTTGAAGAAATTTAGCAAAGAGAGATATTTAGTAATCAGATATATGAATATTTATCTTTAAAAATATATTATTTATGTAAAAAAACTTTTTATTATGTGTTGTAACATGTAAAACAATAGAGAGATATCTTTGCATTATATAAAAAATATCATATACATATATCAATTTTGTTTAAGTTAAAATCAATCTTTGATGTGATTCTTCTATAATCTTTTGAGATCTAAACTTTTGTCAAAAGCTATGCTTAATCGGCTAAAGAATTTAACCCTATAAAAACACGTAGTTTTGGGATTCCAAATGGTGGTCTCACAAGCATTACCAAGCACTAGTTTCATATAGAATGAAAGGATAGCTTTAACGTCTAAAGTCAAAGATTTTGTCAAGTGCGCATACGTGGGTGGATTGATCTTATCTGAGAGTTTTTATTGGGTGCCGAGTGCGGACGTAGTTCTGTATGTGCGTCCGCACTCGGCACCCAATAAAAACTCCTTATCTGAAAACAGAATGGCAAAAGAAAGGCTGCGTTGGTGACAATTAAGCAAGATGAGGTATACAAAGTGAGACTTCGCTTGCAATTTGTCATGTGAGGTTCTCTTTATGTAGAAAAGATGTTTCATAAAGTACAAAAATTTGGCAAAGAGAATATAAAGATAAGTTCATTAAGGAGCAATTAAGGTTATGTTTGGGATAACTTTTTTTACTATTTTTTAAAGCAACTTTTTAGTACAAAAATTAAATTTTTGTACTAGAAAAATGTTTTAAGAAATAGTAAGAAAGCCATCCCAAAAGAATCCTAAAAAATAAATAATTATGCTCAAGAGAATTTGACCCATATATTATAAGATTGTGTTAGTTCTACATTGGTTTTTAAGTTAGAAAATTAGAGCATGTAAATATAAAAAAGAACAGCGTGAAAATGTTATGGGATCTTGATCATTTATAAAAATCTATCAATTATTATTATTATTATTGTTATAAAAATTATACTAAATAGATGTAGGAACTTCAATACAAAATATTTCTAAAAAATTAAAACAAGAGAAAAAGACGTTGATGAAACTAAGGTTTGGTTTTTAAGGGCTTTCTTACTGCCTCTCAAAGCAATTTTTTAGTACAAAAATTTTTAAAATAAAAAATATTTACACTAGAAAATTATTTTAGGAAGCAATAAAAAAATGTCCCAAATAAAGTTTAAGATTGATCATGAACACATCAATCAATAGAAACTTGCTTGAAATGCACGAGTCACCTCAAAATCATTTGCTTGATTAAATAATAATTTTCATATTTCCAATTGTTAATCTTTTATTTTTTTTTATCATTTTATTAACTCAAAGTATATTTATCGTATACAAAAGATTTCTATATTGCTCAAATACAATGAATGAGTTAAAATTTCTATATTTCTCAGCAAGTTTAAAATTAATTTTAATAGAATATTAATATTATCCAATCTTAATTTACTTAATAATATTAGAATTAATAATGGATTTTATTTATTAAAATTATTTGTTTAGCCGAAAGAGAATCGCTGGAGCTCACTTGAACTCACTTAAGAGAAATTTTGGATGTCTGGGAAGCCGGGGATTCACTCTTAGGGAATGATTTGGAATCAAGAAGCAAAACTATTCTTTAGAGAAATTTTTGAGTATTTATAGCTTGCTTAAATCTAAACTTAGCTCAAATTTCAACAAAGTGGGAACTGACCAAGCTGTTAGGACTATTGGAGATGGTCCAATAGGCTTCAAGCAAATGTTTTGGAGAGTTTGCAGCCATGTGATCTATTAGATGATTTGTTATAACTGAAGCAAGATTTTAAACTTAGTTTGGCGTTAATTTTGGCCACCTCAAGCAACCCCATTGCCTGAGACTGGTTGGGCACAGGTCTCGGACCGAGGGACTGAGAATATAATAACTTGGCTAGGCCAATTGCCTCTAGGTTGGAAGTTGTCTCACTATATGGTATTTTTTTAGACTTGGGTTAGTCAATTTTGCTAACCCAAGTCATCCCATAGGTTAGACTTATTGGGTTTAATGCAGGGGGTCCATATACATCTAATGTATACATTCATTGGGTTTAATTCCACATGGATAGTGATTTGGCTCAATGGAACACATTTGGGTTCAATTGGGTCAACCCAAATGGCTAGACAATGTAGGCCCAAGGGCTTAGCTGGCTTGGGCAGACCTTTTGGCATCAAATGGACTGGCTTGAGGGGTTTGGAAGCCTTGGGTACACCTATATTAGTTGAATTGAAGAAGGAGACCCAAATGGCAAGTTTGGTTAACCAAGGCTAACCATACCTAAGGGTTCGATTGGGTTGCAAATATTTAATGGAGTTTGTTGGAAGTAGTTTTAGGACTAGACAAGGCCTCTACATGATAAATTGTATGAAATGGTTCCTTTAGGTCAAGTTTATAATGGTGGTCTTGGTCAACCATTGCCCACCATGGGTCCATTTGCATTCAATCATGTGATGTTTAGGAGATTTTTGGAGCTTTGGCATGACTTTGTTTAACATCTATGCATGTTTGAAGGTTTATGTTTAAATGGGTCCTTTGTGACTAAATTGACCAATCATGGTCAACCATGGGTTCATTTGGGTCTAGGGATCATCAAGGATGATTGTAGGATACTTAGGGCTTGGGTTGATGTTTAGAAGTGTTTTCTACATATGATGTAGTTTTATGCTTTAAGGGTCCATTTGGTCAAACTTTGTCAACCATGGACTCCAATGGGTCCAAATCATTGTAATGATGATTATGAAATAAGTTCAAACCAATTCCAAGAGTCTACAAGGAGGTTTGAATCAAAATGTCAAGTGAGTGGCATGGGCTATAAGTGTTTGAATATTTTTTGGGGCTACGGATCATGCTTTCAGTTTTAAGGTTTATAAGGGCATGGAAGTTTCCAAAATGATTATGGTGACTTTTAGGATATGTCTAATAAATATATGAATGTCCAAATAAAACTCAGAGGCATCTCCTAGGATTTTGAGCAAGTTAATTCATCATTATTTTTGGGATTGAATGGTTTGAAGTTTATTGGATGATTGAAGAATTGAATGGTCATTGAATGATTGATAACGATTGAAGTTTAAATATTTGATGATGATTGAATGATTAAATCATCATTTAATTTGATTAAACATGATTGTATTTCATTGAATGAAAGTTTAATGATTGAACCAACATAACTATTTAAGTAGACTATATTAGTTTTACATAACTTTAACTTCTTTTACCAAGGTTTTATTCTTTCTTTTTGCTATGCCATTATGTTGGGGCATCCTAGGTGATAAAAAATATGTTATATACTTATTAACAAAAAGATTCAAATCAATCATTCTCAAACTCTTCTCCATGGTCACTATGGATGGTGGCTATAGTGAATTCTAACTTCCTTTAAATCTAATTTGAGAAAACTCCAAATTCTTCAAATGAGTCACTTTTGCTAGTTAGGACCTTAATCTAAGTATATCTCATGTAATCATCTATAATGATAAAACCATAAGCTTTTCCTCCTAGTCTTATAGTGTTGATGGGTGTCCAAATAAATTCATATGTAAAATATCTAGTGGTCTACTAGTGCTAATCTCCTTATGTGAGTAAAAAGAGGACTTTACTTGCTTACCTAACTGCATACATCACAAAGATGCTCCTTAATGAACTCTAGTTTGGGTACTCCTCTAACTAGATCTCTGTGAGTGATCTTTTTTAGTGTCCTCATATTTGCATGACACAGTCTCCTATGCCACAACTACGCCTCATTTAAGATGGTTTAAAGACAGTGCACCTTACTATGCTCATTTAAATTAGGTCTTAGGACTCCAAGCAAAATGTAAGGTATGGTGGACTCAAAGTGAATAGACTCATGCAATGTGTCCTACAATGCCACAAGAAAAATACCTAACATCTAGGAATGAATGAGCAAACCTACATAATGATGATTATTTTCCATATGATGAATATGCATGTGTTGTTCTTCAAGGTGGATTGTATATAAATCTTGATGCATTAGCCCTTAACTTTTAATTTGTTTTTTAAATTTTCATTTAAACTTTTATGCATGCCTAATTATATTAATGCCTCATGCTAAATACTATCCATTTTTAAAGCTAACTCAAATAAATACTTTAAATGAAGCTTCTAAAGCAATATGCTCTTGAGTTGTTTCTTTATGATTTTTTTTCCTAACTTTTTTCCAAACTAGTATGCAAATTTTTTAATGCATTATGCTATTTTTTAAAGGATGCAAACTTTCCTAGCAGATTTGTGTGCTCTTCTAATAATGCATGAAGTGCATATTTTAGACTTGAAATTTTTTATTTTGAATTTATATTAACTAATATGCATTGCTTCTGAAAATGAAAGTATGTTATCAAATGTGAAATCATATACTTGATCACTATCTATATCACCTGTGTTATCCTTAGTCATTAAGCATAGGTTGACGACTTCTTCTTTTGCTTTTATCTCAGATGACTTAGAATCATAGTTGGCCCAAAAGGGTCGTTGATTTCTCCTCTTAACCTTCTTTGCATTTCCCTTATTCTCAACTTTTTCTTTAATTTGTTGGCTCTTGAGGTGTGGGTAGTCATACTTGATGAATCTATCTTTTTACATTAACAATGTCAATTGAAATCTTATTGAACTTGTTGTTCTTACCTTTCCCTTTCTCGTTGTAATGTACATGCTTTCTCTTGAGGAACTTTTAGAATTTCCTTGTAATCAATGTTATGTCCTCAATTTTATCACTATTAGAATTACTTTTTTATGAATCATTTGCTAGC